ATGAGGCGGCCTGTGTGCAGCACATCCAGCTGGAGGACATCACAAACGAGAGATTCAATTGAGTCTCCCGTGAAAACCAAATTGATTTGCAAATGAGTGTATTTCTCGAAAACAGTGCAACCTTGGGTTCAAGTAGATCATGAAGTCGACGGTGACTCGGGGAATTCGCCCACCTGATGAGCCCCAAGAAGGGCGAAACCAGTCGTGGGCTGTCGAAGAGTTTTCAGCAACCTTGTGAGTAGTTTCCCTTAGGAATGCATCTAGTTATTTCGAATCTGGAAATATCAACTCAAGGATGAACTGAGTGCCCATCTCCTGAGGAGTGTACTGGCGTATACTACTGACGAAACGTGCTAGTAACATCTGGTCAAGGCAGTTTAAAGTACTGTTTTTGTGTATGATGCAAGGTTAATTTGGCAACTATTATTGTTATTCGCTCAGAAAGTATGTTTAGGGATGCTGACTTTCTCGAAGATTCTGTCCCAATGAATGAACGCTTCCATGTCCGATGGCTTGTTATCGTTTCATGTTAAACAGCTCCGCGTTTGAAGGTGCCTTTTGTTTTTCTTCTCAATGATAAGAGAAATCAGTTGCAAACGGTGATTCTCCCATACAGCGAGCAATTTAGGTGCAAAATTAAAGTGACCGCTTTACGGATCACGAAGAACCGATCCTTCTGTTCATATTTCAACTGTAAACACAAAGATTCTTCCCTAGAACAACTCTCTCTTGTGGTGGCCACGCTTTCTTGGGGGAACTTTCCAAACCGTTTTGAGTCCATCACAAAGGGACTGGACCTTACCATGGTGTGGTGGTTTGTTTACCTCGGTGACCAATTGAGCTATGATACTGGGGGGGAGGGTGTCCGCGCGACACTCACAGAGTCTCTCATACCAGGTTGGTCCATGGATAGAGGTCTGACGAACACAGTCTCCTGGCCCTCCGGGTTGGGGTTGGAACATGTGTGGCGACCTGTTTCATAAAAATGGTAATGTATTCGCATTTGCCGACAAACACCGCTGTCTTGTGGTTAGCTTTTGAGCCAAAGGCTTTGGTTGAGGGCCCTAATCGTCCTCCTGTCTAGGTGTGGGCGCCCTGACAGTATCCACCCCACGTACAACCATGATGCCTAAGTCTAACTCATGCCACATTGGCCGTCACGTGGTGCCATCAGCCGGGTCGCCTTACTTGCTGCATACAACCGGGGCAGGTAAGCGAAAACATGGTACTGCTACGGCAGTCGAGTGTCGCCGTCGTTGACGATGATGATGACGATGATGACCATTTTGAGTGATGCAGAGTACGATTAGTTCGGTGGTCTGGTCTGCTCTCCACTCGTCACATCCTCGTCCTTCTCCCGTTCAGACACTGAGTCCAAAGATATGAAGCTCTGTGCTCGAGTTCCAGCAGTACATATCCCTGCCCAGTCCGGAGGACATCGAGTACCTACAGGTGCCCTTACCAGCTTCACTGCTGAATTGAGAACCTTGAGTGAATATCCATCAGACTGAACATTGCCGATTCATAAATCTATGCTTTTAACGAGCCCTTTTCTGCTCAGTGTGTTACGTGCAGTCAATTGATACTGCCATGCTCAGAAAGCGGGTCGGACGCCGAGATGGTCTCTTCAGCTGAGCACACGATGGGCTTGCTTCGATACACCCCAAGAATCGTAGTGCGATATAGTAAAGGTCTTCAACGAAGCAGACAAATGAGTTAACTGGTCAGATATAGTTTCTGTGCAAAAGTGTGATCCACTCGGATGTGAAACTGGGTATTTTGGCTACATCAGGGTGGCGACCCGCCTGGTTAGTAATCGGTCCCATGTCAACCCGGAATAGCTCAGCGGTTAAACGGGGAACTAACGAACCGGAAGGTGCGTGCCTTTAATCAGCGGAAGTGTAACGATCAAGAACGGTACCCCCATCGGAGAACGTTGGTAGGAGGGACAATAAACAGTTTAAGTCAGGACGTTCTTCTACTGGCCGCCCAAATTTCGACTGTGAAAAAACACCTGTTTAACTTACCTTTTGTCCGGCTGATGTACTCATTTCTGTCATACTCAGCTGGATCGGAGGGCCAGTGGTCAAAATACGGTGTACCGTCACGTGATCCAGTGTTGTTCCTATAATTCCGCTGCGTGC